CAGCAGGAACTCACATGGATTACCTACTGTATACATAACCCAGTGTCCTGCACAGCTGATTTAATCAATTTTTCTCTCTCTCCAGCTTACAGCTGATTTTGTTCATTTTCTTTCTCTCCAGCTTTATTTTTAAAAGTCTCCACTCTCTATATTAGCCCAAAGGACCCTTTGATTATACCCAAGAGAGAATGATTTGAGTATGAAACAGCAATGGAACGCTCTCCTTTCTGTTTTGAAGTGGATGAGCAATGCTTCTCCTCTAGAGTGCCCTGACCTTTCCCTTTCCTTGGCAGGACTACAGAGAGTTTCCTCTGCTTTTTCTCTATTTTTGCAACTGCAGTCAAACAGTACTCAAAATGTGTCCCATTAACCAGTCATTACACATCTTAGATGATTCCTTCAACTGTCTAATTTACACCATTCAAGACAACAATCACAGTAACCATGAAATCCAAGAGCACCACACAGTAAGCCACCACAAGTCTTGGACAGTCCAGGCCGCAGAAGGAGAACGTGTCATTTAACATATACACATCATTGAAGAACTTGGGAAGGGGGGCAGGCGAAGAGATGTGAAGGATTCTGTCACGCAAAACGATGTTCTCTCAGGCCAGTGAGGATGAAGTCAGCACTGGCTTTGCTTTCTGATGGTTGCTCATCACAAACCAAAACACCTGTCTGCCACTGTTAGCTCTTAGTTTCAGTTTACTTTTGCTGCTCTACAGCAAGAAGCAACACGTTCTGACACAGAGATGCATGTAGAGAACCCTGCAGGAAAACTGAAACTTCTTGTCGTCAAGGGAAAAGGGCACCAAGAGAGATGAGAGGCAATATCAAGGATCGAGAGCAAAGGCCAAGGGGGACTCGTTCTGAGAGACTGTTCATTTGGGGAAACATACATTGTTCCATCTTTGTTACATCAATCTTGGCCACAATAAAAATACATATGAGAGAAGCATGCCACAGTCATGGCTGAGAGATGGGAATGAGGAAAAGGTTGATTTCATGACTAGCCCCGGTCCCAATGGACATAATGGGACAAACCCTAACATATCAGTATGAAAAGATGTGACCTAATGCATCTCATGGCCAAGACAGAGAACGCCACACTCACTCAGCCTATATAGTTAACCAAAAATTAGGCAGCAGGCACACTTTGGATGTAACATCATGCATTTGCTAATCCGCTTAGTTCTGGGATTATTGCATAGTCCTGAAAGGCCACTGACTGAATTACACAGAGAGAGAGAGAGCAGTCCCAAGCATCTGGAAGCACACACCAAAGAGACAGATGTGGTAGTGACCGATGATGGGCCAGAGGACGCAGAAGCCATTTTATTCTTCATTCCAAGCTCTTTAGGAAGTTTAGCAGACCAAGGTGCCACTCTTCTGGCTCGTCCATGTAACAGGCATGGCCTGCCCCTTTCATAAGCATCACCTCATGATTGGGTAAGTTCTTCAAGTTCTTCAGGCTGACCTCCCCCAACTGGACATCCTGGTCCCCGTATACAATGAGTGTCCGTGTCTAGTGAAGGGAAAAAGTGAAGTCAAGTGGGGTCAAATCAACCAACAAAAAGAGTCTGCCCTCAGATGGTACCAGCATAAAAGACCTCAAGTGGAACACCAGAGCAAAGGCTCCGCTTGCAAATTTCACTGACTGTACACCGACTTTAGACGGCACATTGCCTCTAGATAGGATTACAGTTATGTGGGGGAAATGCCTATCTAGTAAAGAAGTGATGCAGCTGCCAACTCCCTCTCTGATTATTATTATTATTGTTACTGCTTTGACTCAAGGTGGATGACATTGTGCAAGTCAAGTACAAGCAACAGGATGGGACATCCAATGAACACTACAATAGGGTTTGGACAACAGAAATCTGAAAACAGACAGAAATCTCAAACGGCGCTGGAACAAAGCATGACCTTTTAAATATGATGCATTAAGTGGTGCAGAATAACCTAACTTGAGCATATTTACCATACCTTTACGAATGCAGCTTTCTAACCATTTAATTGCAGTACAGCCCTATTTACCTGTGCAAAATGCCCTCTTTAATACTTACGTTTTGCATAGTCTGCAGAAAGTCAGGAGAGTGGAAGCCTTCCTGACGTCATCAGGGAGACCATGCCGTAAGGTGGGGATCACAACAGAGAATGCACAAGTACAGGCACTTATCAGTTTTGCCCATTTGCAGGATGGTACCTGCAGAAGGCCCTGCTGGGATGTGCAAAGCTGCTGTGGTAGAGCACAGGGACAGAGGCGGTCCTGCAGGGGAGGGACAAAGCCATGAAGGGCTTTGTAGGTGATAATTCCTTGAATTATGCCCAGTGACTTGTAGGCAGCCAATGAAGTGACTGCAGAATGGAAGTGATATGCATGTCCCACCTAGCGGTTTGAACTAACTAGAATCTTTGAGTTGACTTCAAGGAGAGACTTGTGTAGGGTGCATTACAGTACTCTAGTCTTAAAGGCTGCAGATAGATCCAGGAGAAGCAACAAAGAAGCATAACCTTTGTCTACATTCTGATGTGTTGGAAGTTAGATAGCTGAAAAAGTTTTCTCAGCATATTTCCAGCTCTTATGTCGCAGCTCTTGCTTTGCTCACTGCCCTCCAAACTTGCCCTCTTTGCCTTACAATGGATCATTAGTGCTTACTTCTGTTAATGTTATGAACATGTTAAAATCTACAGCTTGGATCTCACCTAAAAATTACTTCCATCCACATAGCATGGCTTCTTCCCTCCCGCTGCAGCCCCAAATGCCCCCTGAAATGCTCCTCTGGGGAATGCTGGACCGCCCAGGAACGGCTTAGAGGGGGAGAATCATAGATCTGCCATGGGAAAGGGGAGTTAGTAAAAATCACCTGCACTTCAATCCACAGAACTTTCAGGCAGGCTCCAAGTCACTGGCACATATTTTATCTTAGATTGAAGGTAATTCCTCCAGCATAAGAGGCCTTCCTGCAGCCCAAGTGGCTCTTCCACTGGAGGAAGGCTTCAGACTTTGCACAGCGGAGTGGTAAAATACATGTCGTACTTTCCCAGTTGTAATACAAGAGGAAGTCTCCTTCCTAAGCGGGGGGGGGGGGGTGCTATTCTGTGTTTGTAGAAGTTCCGAAATCTCTGCAGCAGCATATTCAGGATTCATAGAATTACAGGGAATTCTCACTGCTGTGTCACAATGGCTAAAAAAAGTTTTCAGGTCACATTTGCAAGGGCAAGGACATGTAATACAGGAGATTAATATTAGGAAAAGGCAAAAAGTCCAAAGGCCAGGAATCTGGAGAAGGGTCAGATCATGTGTTCTACATTTGCAAGAGACATTATAAGGTAGTAATACACAATCACACTGAGATGTGTTGATCAGCATTTATCGTACCTGTCAGTGGCCAGGTAATTGCATCAAAATGCACATGTAATCCCATTTCGCGCACACTGTTTATTATGCAAAAAGGAACTAGTCATAGGTGTGCTGTCCTATAACATGCACTGCTTGGTTATGTAAGAAGATCTGATGCAATGAAAATGAAATAAGCACATATGCAGCTTCCCCAATACCATGGAGACTTCAGTGTAGACAGGCTCATCATTCATTCATTGCCTGAAAAGAACTTGCCCCTGCTCTTGGGTAACATTTCTTATACATTAAAAGATGACAGACGGCTTAGTTGTACGTCCTTAGGAGTTAGGTAACATCCAGGCATTTACTGCAATTAGGATTCATGTATCTCCCTCTATAATGTTGCATTTTCTTATGCTCAAAAAAGCAAAGATTTGATGCAAACAACAGTGGAACTTGTGTCACCAATCCAGTAATGGAGAGGCTGTCATAGCAATTCTCATATTTTCATAGCTCTTAATAAAGGGGAGTGATGAAAGAATTCCTGCATCCCACTCTCCTCACTTCTTCTAGCAGTCTATACAAACAGAAACATTCTATAGGGCTTCCCTGTTTGTGTCAGTAAATAGGCCCTGCATATAAGCCTGCTTTGCCTGTCTCAAAGCATCTGAGAATGAAGAAGCAAGCAGTGCCCTCTAGTGCTCAACTGGGAACCTCCCCCCATTTTATTACAAATCCGTGCCTGCAGTATGGCTGTCACAGACAAGCTGCCTACCCGATTCTCTCACTCTTTTCTGAAGCCTCTGCAACTTCTCCCAGTTGCCTCCCAGTTCTTCCTAACTATCATTCATTGAAATAAAATCTGCTCCTGCGTTAACCTTAGAATCCCCCTCCAGGCCTAGCTGGTAGACATACTTTGACACCGGCATACTGTGTGGCTGGGAACTTCTCTGTGCAGATGGGTGCCACTGGGATGTAGGCCTTGAGCAGCTCACTGTGCTGGAAAAGGAATGGAAGTGAATACATCCCACTGAGAGATGGGCTGATGACCACAGCCTGGTCTAACAGAAGGGCCTCGAATACGGACTTCAAGAAACTGCTGGGTGCTGGCTCTCCAACGGGAGCTGGAGCAGTAGCATCTTTGGAATTACCCATACCTGCACGACAAAGAAAAAGACATCCGATCAAAGGCATAAACCATCCAGTGACAAGTAGCACGATGCCTTGCAGTGGCATAGTCCCCAAGGAATGAGTGATAATCCAGAAGAAGCAGGGCTTCTTGGCAGGAACGCACAGGAACGGAGTTCCGGCTGGCTCCCAAGTTGGCCACGCCCAGCAGGAACTCATTAGCATAATAGGCCACGCCCAACAGCAGAAACTCATTAGGATTGGCTACATTAGGGGTGTGTGGCCTAACATGCAAAGGAGTTTCTGTTACAAAAAAACCCCTGGGTTTTGACAACAAACAAGGTAAACAGAATAAGAAGGGAAAGGTGAGTGTGGCTGGATGACCACACTTCTGGTAACATGGTGGTGTGGCCTGATGTGCTAATGAGCAGTGCTGTCAGGGTGTGGCCTAATATGCTAATGGATTTTGCTGTTGGGTGTGGCCTATTATGCTAATGAGTTCCTGCTGGGCTTTTTCTACAAAAAGAGCCCTGAGAAGAAGTAATGCATCATTAATTCCTTTTGACACCAACAAGCATCAGAATACCCTGGATTCTGGCTCTGGGTAGGATGGGGGGGATGATCCAAAAGTATATAACAACATTGCATTATTAAAATGAAGCAGGCCTCAGGGTGACCAGTGCTTGGATCAGAAACTGCCTGGGAGCCCCATGTTAACTCCATTAAGTTTTCCAAAGGCACAATGAATAAATACAAAATAAGACCACTATGATGATATATGAAACTTGGCAAGACAATCTTGCACTCCAGATAACAGGTGTCAGGATGCTGGCTATTCCAAGCAGAAAGGGGAAAACAGGACTAGGTCCACGCTGCATGTTACACTAACAGGTACATTACTACTGCTGCACCTTAACAGGTGCCACCAAGGTAGCTGGCCATGTTGTCTATACATGGGTCTAAAAAACCGTCATTCTGTATGAAATGCAAAAAGGCTCACCGCCATACCTCATAGTTAACAAGAAACCATCTTCTACTGACTACATTGTCTGTGTCTGAATACAGGCCTGTTTTGCCTCTTTAAAAGTGTCCAAGAATGAAGAGGTTGGCATGTGTTCTCCTCTGATTAACTAAGAATTAACTGAGAAATCCTCTCCAGTTTTATAGCCTGTTGAATGCTAGCACTGATACAGGGGAGAAGAGGTAAATAGCCATGGTGTGGGAGTTATATTGGAGAGGAGAGAACATAGACTTTGCTCCTGATCAGGCACCTAAGGGTTACGGCCAATTTTGTTAGAAGAGCTTGTAACCAAGAGGGAATGAGGAGACAGCACAAGGATTTTTTGGCAACTTATTTTCCAAAATCTGAGCACTGAGGAGGTGTCCTCAACCACTGAGACATACCTGGCAGGTCAATAGCTACAGCACGGTATCCCGCTTCAGCCAGTTTAGACAAAGTCTGCAGGTTGAGCCAAGTCTCTGATGAAAAACGGATGCCATGCAGCAACAAGACAGAGAGACGAGGGGCCTGCTGAGCTGGCTTGGCCTGCCTGTAGAACAGAGTCTGTCCACCCACTGGTATGGTGCCCTCAGTCAGTTGCGTGGCAGCCATTGCTCAAGGACCGTATTTTCCAGGAAACCTGAAGGGAAGAGCAACAAAGAACATGAAAGAGAAAATAAAAAAGTCGAACTCTGGCCCACTGGCTACTTTTGGAGGGGGAAACTAGATTCTCTCACTCTGTGCCATGAGTAAATGGTACTAATTCTCAGAGCCAGTTCTTTATTGTACATTTAGAATTCAGGAAGAGAGGGCTGAAACTACAACGTACACACACCTCTTTGTCTATACTGAAATGCACAGCTGTCACTTTAAAACTGATTTAAAAACTAAGAAAAGGCTGGATCCCCAATTCTGAATATTTTGAAGGAATATATGCCAAATTCTAAATGCACATTATTTTTGGTGCATATATCTGGTACCTGGATATCTGTCCTCAAGTATAACAATGTAAAGTACAAAAATATAAATGTAAATTGCTTGTGAAGAACCTGGATTGGACTCCAGGCAAATGGCATCAGAAAACCAGAACTTTAAAACGACTTTATTTCAAGCACATTCTGAGGCATCCTTCTTAAAACAAAAATAACATTTACTGGAATTATGGGGTCTGAAGCATGGGATGCTGGATGGGCTTTGCTTCTTGTCACATCCTTTTTTCATTTTACAGTGCTCTTGCTGATGTTTCCTCTTCCAGAACTGGTGCCGTGTGTGTGTGGTGGGACTGGACTGCCTTCTGGGGAATGACCACATGCCACTCTCACCTTCATCTTGGAGGAAGACAACTGGCAATCAGATAGCTTGTGGGACATGGTGGCCTGACTAAAGTGCACTCGTTCACACTACTTTCGAATCACACACATATCCTGCAACCTGTTAGAATTTGGAAGGGGGAGTACAGTCCTAAAGAGAGGATACTCTTATAAGTCCATTGAAGCCAGTTGGCTAAGAAGGGTTAGAATTTCACTGTAAATACATTGCAAAACACACTGGAATATGCCCCTTTTAGAAGAAGGAAGAGGAGACTGGATTTGTACCCCACCCTTCACTGGGAGTCTCAGAGAGGCTTACAATATCCTTTCCCTTCCCCTCCCCACAACAAACACCCTGTGAGGTATATGGAGTTGAGAGAGCTCTTTCAAGCTCTTTTGAGAACAGCCCTGAGAGAACTTGTGACTGACCCAAGGTCACACCAGCAGCTGCATGTGGAGGAGTGGGGAATTGCACCTGGTTCTCCCAAATGAGAGTCCCCACTCTTAACCACTACACCAAAGTGGGAAGTCTTACAAAACTCTGGCCTCCATGTGAGTACTTGTTCTTGTGGAGTTCAGAAGTGACAGTATCTGAGTGGAGGAGGAAAGACCATCACTCCTCAGCTGCTCAGGTAAGTATGAACCGTCACATATGATGAATACAAAAAAAGTGATGATCTGCTTGAGAATGGATCACTACAGTCAGGAAAGTTCTATCACCTTCAGACAGGATGCTTTTCGATGGAGTCAGGTCAGTTCACACATTCACCTACCAGTAACCAAGTACAGAGAAACAACGTGCATGCATGTGTGAACCACCCATCCCCTTACTTCCTTACAGTGAGGAACAGGTGCAAGTCTGCTACAATAGGTGCTCTGTGGGACTCCCGAGTGCTAAAACAAAAGAACTGGTTTGCCCCATTATTTTTCCTTGGGACATGTGACCAGTGAGAAGACCACACTTCAGCAACTGCAGATTATATTTTCCTGAGAAAGCACAAAGTGGTCTGAGTGCAGGGAAATGCATGTGAATTCCAAGGTGCCCTTAAACCTCCTTTCAGTACAATCCTAAACCGACTGATTGCGGAAGTCAGCCAGCTCAGAACAACAGCAGTGTTAATCATACACACACAGATTTAGTACGTCGTCCAAAAGTAATAGTGCTACATAAACTGGAAAAGCAGCATGCGATGGCCCAGCTAAGGTTTCATAACAGAAGATTGCATTCCTGTACCTAAACTGCAGGCTGTGGAAGGTCAGTAGTTCAGCAGTTCGAGACCCGGGTGCCACAAGACAGAGTGAGCTCCCGTCTCTAGTTCCAGCTCCTGCCAACCTAGCAGTTCGAAAGGAAGAAATTGCAAGTAGATAAATAGGTACCACTTCGGTGGGAAGGTTACAGCGTTCTGTGCGCCTTGGTGTTTAGTCATGCCGGCTACATGATCACGGAAATGTCTTCGGACAGCGCTGGCTCTTCGGCTTTGAAACGGAGATGAGCACCGCAACCCTACAGTCGGACTCGACTGGCTTTCGAGCAAGGGAACCTTTACCTTTACCTCCCTAGGATCACACTGCATCAGTGAAAGAGCACTTTCTGCTAGTAAGCCACCATCAGCACGATTCTGAGTAGACCTGCAGAGGATGGCTCTGCCCCCTGGGTAAGCCAGTCTACACCGGGATAAGTTCCATTTTATTAACTGCAGCCTAGAGCTTCTGGGAAAAGTCCAGAAGCAGCTTGCTCTGTAGAAAAGAAAGTCCTTTGAATTGCGACAGACAAATCGTGGCGGGAGACAATTACAGCTGTGAACCTAGCCCTTTTCTGTAACGGCCAATTCATCCGAATGTATGAAGAACTTTTTGGAATATAGGCCAGGAGGAGGAAAGAAACAGAAAATCCTACCGAAGCCGTTTTCTTTCCAACGCAAAAAGGTGGAAAGTGAAAGCGTGAGAGTGGCTACCTGATTGAGAGAGACCACGGCCAAACGAACACCGAAAGAGATGCTGCTTCTCGGAGCTTCCGGGGTCCAAAGGTTCTCAAGGAAGCATGAAGGGAGAAAGAACGATAAAAAATAAATAAGAGGGAAGTTACAACATTTCTAAGCAAAAGTTCAAATGAACACTAGGGACACCTAGTGGACAGAAATAGCCACGTGCTTTTAGGCTCATCTTGCAGTGAATTTAGTTTATTTTTTGTGGAGTATACGAGTTAGATATGCTAAAAAGAAAAGATGGGAACTTTAAACTGGACTTGTATTCATTTTGCCAGCCGAGGACACGCTTCATTCATTTGATGAAGAAGGCGCTAAGCCCCTTAAGTTTATACCACGATAAATCTGTTACTCTTTAAGATGCCCCAAGATGTTGTCTTTATGAACAAGTACCTGCGATTTTTTTGTTGTTCAGTCACACAGTCGAGTCTGACTCTTTGAGACCCCATGGACCGCCAGGCCCTCCTGTCTTCTGTCATCCATGCAATATGCTTCAGTGTTGTCTTCAAGTTTTCCTCACATGGACACGTGAAGCTACCTTATACTGAATCAGATTACGGGTTTACCATGGTCAGTGTCCACTGTCTGACTAACAGGGGCCGCTCTCCAGAGGTCTTTCATATCGCCTGCTACACCTGATCCTTTCACCTAGAGATGCTGGGGACTGAACTGGGGACCTGCATGCAAAGCACCGGCTCCAGTTAGGGTTGCCAACTCTGACTTGGGAAATAGCTGGAGATTTGGGTGGGGTGGAGTGTGGGGAGGGGCGGAACCTCAGCAGGGAATGATGCCATAGAGTCCACCCTCCAAAGCAGCCATTCTCTCCATCTGGAGATCAGCTGTAATTCCTGGAGATCTCCAGGGTGGACCTGGAGGTTGGAAACCCTATCAGCCACTGAGCTATGGCACCTCTCGTTTTCTAAAATCACAGGAACTAGAAACACAGCTGTTCTCGTGTATTTTCTATATAAATAAAACATCACGAACACATTTCAGATTGACTAATTGAATTTATTTCTTTGATTCATATCCCACCCTCCCTGCGAGTGGGCTCAGGGCGGTTCACAAGGCCACGTAGAATATTGTGACAGTGAAACAACACATAAAATTCAACAATTAAATTTTAAAATTTGAGATCTAAGATTTTAAAAGTTCAAAGTTTCATATAAAGACCTTTGGAAAGCCAATATTAGACAGTGGACAATGCTGACCTTGGTAAACCAATGATCTGATTCTGTATAAGGTAGCTTCCAAAGTAAAAGTTGCCTCGGTAGCGATGCTCAGATGCAAACCTTCTGAGCGGTGTTGTGAGGTATCAAGCCACGAACCACTAGGATAGGGCTGTCAGCAGGGGAGAACAAGAATGGGAATTTGGATGCCCGCTGTGTCAACTAAAAGCCGAGTGGAATTGTAACAGATCCTGCAGGACCCTGATCTCAGATGGGAGCTTGTTCTACCCTGCTGGGGCCAGGGCCAAAAAGGCCCTGGCCCTAGTTGAGACTAGCCTGACGTCCTTCAGGCCAGGGACAACCAGAAGATGTTGATCAGTTTGAGCACAAGGCTTTGCGGAGCACATATGGGGAGAAATGGTCCCTGACATAGGCAGGTCCTGGGCCGCATAGGGCTTTAAAAGTCAGCACTAGAACCTTGAACTGGATCCAGTACTCTAAAGGCAGCGGCAGCAGCCAGTGCAGTTGGTCTAGCACCAGCTGGCTGTGGGCCCACACAGACATTGCTATCAGCATGAGCACTGCTGCATTCTTCACTAGCTGCAGTTTCTGGGTCAAGTTCAGGGGCCAGCCTTACATAAAGCAAGTTACAATAATCAAGCCGGGAAGTGACCATTGCATGGATCACTGTAGCTAGGCCCTGGGAAGTGAGATAGGGAACCAGTTGCTTGACCAGCTGAAGATGGTAAAAGGCTGATCTAGCAATGGAGGCCACCTGGGCCTCCACAGAAAGGGAGGAATCCAAGATAACCCCTAGACTCTTCATCCTCGGCACTGGCACCAAAGGAACCCCGTTGAGGGTTGGGAGCCAGATTCCCAATCCCAAATCCCCACAACCCAGATTCAGGACCATTGGATTGAGTTTCAGTTGGCTCTGTTTTAGCTAATCCACCATGGCCTGTAGTGCCCTAGTTAACACCTCTGGGGCAGAGTCCGGCCACCTATCCATCAACAGATAGAGCTGGGTATCATCAGTGTACTGATGGCAACCCAGCCCATACCCTCAGAGCAACTGGGCAAGGGCTCATATAGATGTTAAACAACATCGGGAAGAGGATAGCTCCCTGCGGCACACCCCACATTCAAGTGGGTGCCGCTGGGACAGCTCCTCCCAAAGCACCACCCTCTGTCCCCAACCATGAAGGAAGGAGGAGAGCCATTGCAAGGTGGCCCCCCATATCCCAACGTTGGTGAGACGTTTGTTCAGGAGATCATAATCAACCATGTCGAATGATGCCATTGGATGCAACAGCAGCGCTGACCCAGCTCGATCCAGATGGCTCCGGAGGTCATCCATGAGGCCGACCAGCATGGTCTCTGTCCCGTGGCCAGGGAAAAAGCCAGATTGGAATGGGTCCAGGATAGCAGCATCATTCAAGATAATCAACCATGTCGAATGATGCCATTGAATGAAGAAGCAACAGCAGCACTGACCCAGCTCGATCCAGATGGCTCTGGAGGTCATCCATGAGACTGACCAGCATGGTCTCCATCCCGTGGCCAGGGTAAAAGCCAGATTGGAATGGGTCCAGGATAGCAGCATCATTCAAGAAGGCCTGAAGTTGCTTCAGCACCATTCTCTCGACCACCTTGCCCAGAAACAGTAAGTTTGAAACAAGGCAATAGTTGGTAAGGATCATAGGGTCCAATGATGGCTCCTTCAAGAATGGGCACACGACTGCCTCCTTTAGACCAGCTGGGAAAGTTCCTAATGATTTCCCACAAGCATGCTGTTGGCTTGCAGCAAAAGAACTGAAGTATCACAAGAATATAGGAACTGTGTGCGTGCATGATGTTTATTCATGTTGGAAAAGTGACAGCCTGCTAGGAGTCTGATTACTGTGAATGTTGCTGAAAGAGTAGTTTAGACCAGCTGGGAAAGTTCCTAATGATTTCACACAAGCGTGCTGTTGGCTTGCAGCAAAAGAGCTGAAGTATCACAAGAATATAGTGCGTGCATGATGTTTATTCATGTTGGGAAAGTGACAGCCTGCTAGGAGTCTGATTACTGTGAATGTTGCTGAAAGAGTAGTTTAGTCCACCTGTACCCTAGGGGGACTCTCTCATGGATCACTGCCTTGATGTGGTGAGGGGACTGGCGTGGTTTGATGAGGCTGCGGGCTATGCCGTGGAGGGCCACAGCAAAGAACTCAGACAAAATGTGATCCACTGGAGAAGGAAATGGCAACCCACTCTGGTATCTTTGCCAAGAAAACCCCATGGACAGTAAGAAAAGACACCGGAAGATGAGCCCCTCAGGTCGGAAGGCATCCAATATGCTACTGGGGAAGAGCAGAGGGCAAGTACAAGTAACCCCAGAAAGAGTGAAGTGGCTGGGCCAAAGCCGAAAGGACGCTCAGCTGTGGATGTGTCTGATTGTGAAAGGAAAGTCCAATGCTGCAAAGAACAATACTGCATAGGAACCTGGAATGTAAGATCTATGAATCAAGGTAAGCTTGACGTGGTCAAAAATGAGATGGCAAGACTGAACATCGATATCCTAGGAATCAGTGAACTAAAGTGGACAGGAATGGGCGAATTTAACTCAGAAGACCATTATATCTACTACTGTGGCCCGGAATCTCATAGAAAAAATGGTGTGGCCTTTATAGTCAACAAGAGAGTAAGAAAGGCAGTAATGGGATACAATCTCAAAAACGACAGAATGATCTAGGTCCGAATCCAAGGCAAACCATTCAATATCACAGTAATCCAAGTCTATGCCCCAACCACTGACGCAGAAGAGGCTGAAGGGGACTGGTTCTATGAAGACCTACAACACCTCCTAGAACTAACACCAAAAAATGATGTCCTCATCATCATAGGGGACTGGAATGCTAAAGTAGGAAGTCAAAAGGTAACTGGAATAACAGACAAGTTTGGCCTTGGAAAGCAAAATGAAGCAGGGCAAAGGTTAACAGAGTTTTGTCAAGAGAACACACTGGTCATAGCGAACACCCTTTTCCAACAACCTAAGAGGCGACTCTACACATGGACATCACCAGATGGGCAACACCGAAATCAGATTGACTATATAATTTGCAGTCAAAGATGGAGAAGCTCTATCCAGTCAGTAAAAACAAGACCTGGAGCTGACTGTGGCTCAGATCATGAGCTACTCATTGCAAAATTCAGACTTAAACTGAAGAAAATTGGGAAAACCACGAGGCCATTCAGGTTTGACCTAGATCGCATCCCTGATGAATATACAGTAGAGGTGAAGAATAGATTCAAGGGTCTGGATTTGATAGATAGAGTGCCTGAAGAACTATGGACGGAGGTTCGTGACATTGTACAGGAGGCAGCAATCACCACCATACCAAAGAAAAAGAAATGCAAGAAAGCAAAATGGCTTTCTGATGAGGCTTTACAAATAGCAGAGGAAAGAAGGAAAGCGAAAGGCAAAGGCGAAAAGGAAAGATTTACCCAACTGAACGCAGATTTCCAGAGAACAGCAAGGAGAGATAAGGAGGCCTTCCTGAATGAACAGTGCAAAGTAATAGAAGAAAACAATAGAATGGGAAGGACTAGAGATCTCTTCAAGAAAATTGGAGAAATCAAGGGAGCGTTCCATGCAAAGCTGGCCATGATAAAGGACAAAAACGGTAGGGACCTAACAGAAGCAGAAGAGATTAGGAAAAGATGGCAAGAATACACAGAAGAACTATACAAGAAAGACCTCGATGTCCTTGACAACCACGACGGTATAATCACTGACCTCGAGCCAGACATCCTGGAATGTGAAGTTAAATGGGCCTTAGAAAGCATTACTAACAACAAAGCTAGTGGAGGTGATGGTATCCCAGCTGAGCTATTCAAAGTCTTAG